TATCTGTCTGCTTACCCATTTGGTTTGAGGCTCCATTGTTTCTGCAGACCATTTGAAGCTGAATTTAAGTCTTTGTATTATTTCTACAATTTATGTCCTCTAACCAGTTTTTATGTGGGTAAGGAAAAGAAAGCAAGAGTAAAACCAGTCATTAAGAGACTTTAAAATTAAAAATGTCAAATAAATTACATGACCTAATAAAATGGATGAGTAATTATGCCACATCTTAACTGTATAAACCAATACTTATATTATCCAAAGAACATCCTTGAGACGATGTTAAACTAAGGCTGGCTTCTCCCTGTCACCTACCATCTCTTTCCATTACCTATTAATACATATTCAGAGAATGCAATCTAATTTTAATGTTAACCTAAGCCAAATGTAAATGTGGAGATAAGAATCTGATGCTACTTAAGACAAAAATGGAGGAAAAGAAGGAAGAAGAGGAGGTGGAGAAGGGGGAGGAGGAGGAGGAGGTGGAAGGAGAGAAGAGGGGCAGGAGGAGAATGGCAAAGCAGAGAAGGACGGGGAGAAAGATTAGGGGCACATGCCTTATCCACAGCTAAAGATTATTTTGATTTTCTAGTTTACCTACTATAGGACAATGCTTTAATTCTCTGAACACAAATGGTTAAGGATTATTCACCGTTTTGTATTATATGTCACTCAATTCTATTAGCCAGATAGGAGATGCAAAGGTCCATTAATTTTTAAAAAGTTCTTTTAAAATGTAAAGCAGATTATTATACAATATTAACACATAACACAGTCATAAAACATATTAACATATTCACAAAATTACGGGATTTTCTGTCTGTTTACCTCCGACATATCATGCACCAGCAAGAGAGGAATGCTTATTGTTGTGATGTCGTGGGTACAGCAGACCTTGAGTATATTTCGGAGTCCCATAATGGCAGGATCACGAGCAGTGATATTTCCTGATTTCACGTTGTCATCCACACAAAGATGGAAAACAACATGGATTTCTGAGAGATTAGAGTGCCGTGTAATGTAAAACTCTCCTGTGAATAACAAATACAGTTGTGATTTTTCAAATGCACAAATTACATTCACTCAAATCAATGAGACTTACAAATAACTGCAACGGGCAGTCAATGTGTTGAACTAGTAAGGATGTATCAGGAAACTACATGGGACTCCGGAAGTGACTATGATTACAGATTCTCAATTCTTGAAAAGATGGTAATATAAATAAGAGACAATAGCCAATTTTGCTATAGCTTTATGAATTGATATCAAGTGACTACCAAGGAGTAAACAAATCAAATAAGTACTCATTATCTTTATTTTGATGTAAATGCTTAAAATGCCAAACTTAACACGTAAAAACATGTTACTTGATAATCTGTTTTCCCCCCACACTAAATCTGCTCTTCCTCATTTCAATTAATGAGACCAATCTCTGTCCAATTAGTTGCTCGGGATAGAAATATAGAAGCTGTCCTTAATTCCTTTCTTTCCCTCAATGTCTATTCCCTCATGCACGGTCCAGTTTAACATCAAATATTTTCAGTTCTATTTCCAACAAATGTCCCAAATCTGAACAGTCCACTTTTACGGCTGTCACGCTAGATCACGCTCCCATCACCTCTCACCTCTCACCTAGGTTTCTGTAATATCCTCTTAATTGATCTCTCTGCGCCCATTCTTGCCCACCTACAAACCATTTCCATACTGCAGCCCAAGTGATTTAAATATAAATCAGATATCGCTCCCCTACCTGAGAGAGCCTCAGACTACATTTAGAACAGAATTCAAACTCTTTACTGTGGGCTCTAAGGCCTGTCTGACCTGACTTCTTGTCACCTTTTACTCTCTCTCTCTTTTCTTTTCCTTCATCTCAGAGCAAATGTTACCTCCTCAGAAGAGTCTTCCTCGACTATCCTATCTGATATAGGATTCCCTGGCCCTCACTTATTCTCTTTCTCACATTATTCTGTTGTATTTTCTTCTTAGCAATGAAATTCTTGTTTACATAGATTATTTTAAAGAGACTAGGGTTTATGTTCCATGTCTATAGGGATTTTTTCTATCTTGTTTAATGTTCTATCTGTAGCATGCAGAGCAGAACCTGGTACACAGAAGGTACTCAATAAAGATTTGTTGAATGAATGATTTTAGATCATTTGTTGAATAAAAGATTTTAGGCTGAATGCTGGAACAGTGTTTCTCAATTCTTAAAATCCGTGCCTCCTACAATCATTTGTTTTTATATGTAGCCTCACTAGCAAAGAAAAATCTCATCAGCTTCTATTTTCTGTAGTTTCTGTCAATATAAATAAGTAAAATATAAAACATATAAAGAATATATTTTCACAAATACACATTCCTCCTTGGAACTTCTGACATGTCCTTCTAGGAAAGGTTTTCTCATCTCTCTTCTTCCACTATTAATCCTTGCTCTCACAAATTCTGCTCCCTCTTGCTTCAAGGTCATTATCTTAGGATTTTACTTATAAACACCTGGTATATTTACAAGTACCTAGTATACTTCAGCACTATGTTCAACATTTCTGTTGCCGGTGTACAAAGCTGTACCCACAGATGCCTCTGACAGACCCCAGGCAAAGGGCTCTTCTTTTTCTTTTTCTTTTTTTTTTAACTTGAACGAGATAAAGGAACTAGATAAACAGAAAAAGAAATCAAAGAAAGAACAGTGACAGAGATACCAAAATGAATTGAAAAA